TCTTTATAGAAGTGAGCACCTTAAAATGAGCCCATTAGTGTGGGCCGAAATGCAATATGACTGGTGTCCTTATAAGAAGCGAAAATTTGGACACAAAGACAGACATGCACAGAGTTTTCTGGAAGACAATGTGAAGAGAAGCAGGGAGAATGCCATGTGAAGATGAGAGCAGAGATCGGGGTGATGTGTATGCAAGCCAAGGGATGCCAAAGATTCTCAGCACTCACCTGCAATGAGGAAAGAGGCATGGAAGATTCTCCCTCCAGCTTTTAGAAGGAAGCAACTCTGCCAACACCTTGCTTTCAGACTTCTAGTCTCCAGAACCGTGGGACAATAAAGTTATGTTATTTTAAGCCCTCTGTGTTACTTTGTTATGGCAGCCTTAAGAGACTAATACAGTAGGTATCTGTTACGTGCTTGTATCTTTTGTTAAGAAAGAGCACAATGTGTACTGAAGAGAAAAATGAATGCTCTAAGGGTTGCCAAGTCACCTGCAAGTGAAGATGAGTGGATTGATATAGGGAAAAAAAAATACCTGCAAAATTGGGAAGGAGGAAATTTAAATGGCAGAAATAATGTAAACAAATGCTGGAGTATACAGCTATCAAAATATCTCATGTCACCAAAATAAAAATGTGCTGTATGGAATGGAACTTTGGATTATGCAGCTGAAAGAAAGCTGGATGAAAAATATACATGTTGAAATCAAGAAGTCTAAAGAAAATTTAACAAAAAGTACAGGACAAAGTACACCCATTCTATGTGTTTCAGGTAGGGTTGGTATTTGATTAGACAGTGGATAAAGTGTTTAACTGAAGTAGCTATTTTGGTGGTTCAAAGTGCAATGAAGTGATCCTACCCTTCAAAAACAGAACTCATTTTGCATAATCAATAAAAATTGTCTTTCCAGAAAAGAGAAGCCTTAGTTGCATTAAAGAGCGCCAGCACAGACATCAAAAGCTCTAGATAAAACATTATGCCATACTTTCCTTCTCTATACTCTGAAAAGCAAACAGAAAGAAAATCACCTCCACAAAGTGAAATTGTATCAATATGAAATTCTGAGTTTGAATGAAGGGTCGAGGCCTGTGTCTCATAGAAGACAACAAAGATGAGAAAGAGGGTGACTTCAGGAACCCATGTTCATCAAGAACTTGATCTTGAATGGAACCGTCTGAGGACAAACCTTCCAGGTTCAGTGTTTAGAATGTGGTAGAGCAGCCATCTCATCATGATCTGCAGGGAGTCAGCCCGAGAGGCTACAACTGGGAAGGGCAGTGTTGGAAAGGAAGGAAGACGCAAAGGGAATGTGACCGCTGCCTTCGATGATGCGAACAGCCCGTTCTGTGTGGCTTCAACAGCTTCGAATGAAGACTAACAATGGGTGCAAATGAAAGGGAATGAGTCTCAAAGAACTTTTGTCCCAAAGAACTTTTGAATAGTTGGAAGTTTGCAGTGATAGGACAACCTGCCTGTTTGGGTGCAGGATAGTGAGTGTCCTGTGAGGAGGTGCCCACACAGCAGACAATTACACAGGTAATTACTTGGAATAGGAACAAGGTCGTGAGGATGAGGAGGGAGCACTGATGCTCTGAGTACACTGTATGGTAAAACTCTGACTCATAGAACTACAGTCATGTTTCACCTATCCTCTAAGCACCCCAAACTGCACAGAGAACTAAAACCAACCAGCATGTGGCAGAAACCAAACTGAAATATAAGCAGTAACAATGGGACCTTACTTATTACAAATGGATAATATAACCACACTAAAAGGGGTAAGGAAAAAAAAAAAAACTAAGCTAGGTAAGTTTGGCCAACAGTATATTGACTGGATATTATAAAGCTAAAGACCAAAAGACTATAGGTAAAGGCTGTAATCTAGTTAATCATGCTTAGTCATGTAATCATGCTTCTCACAGGAGCATGAGTTAGCCATTCTAGAACTACTTTATACTAGACTTGAACAAAGAACTGTATCTATTGTAGATAATGATATCTGGGTTTTTCACTGTTGGAGAGAGAAGCTACAAATAAAGAGGAAGGCTAGAATGAACCTTGGTTGTTGGATCAAAATCAGAAGTATCCGTATAAACTCATGGTCTTTAATAGAGATAGATAGATAGATAGAGAAATGCTGATGTGTGTATATAATTGGGTTAGCATACATATACATGTTTTCCAGCTCTGTTTACTGAGAGTACCTAGAAACAACACCCCAGTAGCAATGAGCATGCCTAGCACCTAGATCTTGGTTTCCAAACATCATTCTGCAATAAAAGGAACCAGAGCTCCTTGAGGAAATAGTTAGTTCCAGATCTGGGGCAGGGAAAATACAAGAGACTGGAATATTTTCTGGTACTAGAAAGTAATAAAGTACTCAAAAAGGATAGAGCTTCTTAAAAGGACACAGATGCCAAATCGAAGGAGTTCTTTCTTAGTAGCCAAAGCTGGAACAATATGAGCAGCGAAACTAACAGTGATAGCACTGGATTATAACCGAAAGAATAAAATAAATATGAGTCCATATTGATATATTTAAATCATTGAGTAAATAAAAGAGGGAAAAGAGACAGCTCTTCCTTGCAATAGAATTACAATTAATCAATGTGGAAGGAAAGAGTGAAATAACAAAATCACTGTTGGGCATAATAATTGCTACAGTCAAAATCCACTAATGCATATTAAAATTAGTGGGTATTAAATTTGTGGATAAACAGGATAATTATATAATCTCAAAGTATCTCTCCACAAGATATTTATTAATCACAAAGTGAAAACAGTAACTTCATAATCAGAAACCCTGAAAATTCCAACCTTATCCAAGTGATCAATGTTAACATCACCAGTAAGAAATATTGATGTTATAAATCCTTTGAAATGATGCATTGAGAAAGACAACATAATTTATGTGGCATTTTTGTCAAAAATGAAATTTCATTTTAATGATAAGGAAACTTCAAATGAACACAAACTGACAGACAGTCTAAGGAAGAGGTGATCAGAACTCTTCAAAGGTGTCAGGGTCATGAAAGCAAAGAAAGCCTAAGGAACTGTCACCAACTGGAGGAGACTAAATGGATGTGACAACTAAATGTAATGTGAGATCCTGGGTTGGATCCTGGAACAGAAAAAGGGCTTTAGTGGGAAAATGGTGAAATTCCAGGAAGGTCTATAGTTTAGTGAATAGTATTATACTACCAGTGTCAATTTCCTGGTTCTGAACATTGTACAAGGTTATGCAAGATGTTTAAACTGGGGGAAACTAAGTGAGTGATATATGGGAACTCTTTGTACTATTTCCATAACTTTTCTCAAGTCTCAAGTTAGTTCAAAATAAAAAGTTAAGAAAGAAAATAATTATGAAAGTTTAATTAGTTTGCAGGAATCACTTATGCATGTGTGTGTGAAGTATATCCTGGAATAACTACTCAGCGAAATAAAATACCCAATGCTGTTGTGTTCCTATCAAAGAAGAGAAATTTCAAAAAATACCCTCACTGCATTCATTTTAAGTGTATTTAGTTCTAATAAGCGTTGTAGTTGTAGCAATATTTAGACTGCATTCTAAAGCTCCAAAACCAAAGCTAGGTTCATTTGTTCATAGACATAATAAACTACATTTTTTTCCTCTTTTGGGATTTAGGAAAGATCTCCCTAAATCCCAGTGCACCCAGAGAGGTGCATTGGTAGTAAGATGCCAGGTCTGAGCAGGAGTTAGCTGGGGAGAGAGTTGGGAAGGGACATTCTAGCAGAGGGACTGCAAGGATGAATCCCTGAGATGAGAAACATCTTGGCTTGTGCTAGGAACTGGAAAAGACCAGGATAGGAGGGATTGAGTGGTGTGAGGTACAGCTGTAGAGACAGGCAGGAGTTGGCCACACAGGACCTTGTAGAAGAACTTAGAATGATTCTAAGAACAGTGGGCACCTCTGAAGGGCTTTGAGCAGAGGAGACACATGACCCAGGAAGTCACCATCTCCTACTCTTTCTATTGACTTTAAATGCCTGTTTATATAATGCTGGCCATAGTTCTTTACTTTCACTGAGGAATAAGATATGGAAATGGCCAATAGGGCAGAGGTGTAAGGTATACTTCCTGGTGAAATCCTGACCCTGGAGAGCTCAGAGAATAAAGGACAATATGTCCACACCTGCCTTCTGGGAGCTGCACAGACATTGTGATTTGCATTAAAAGTTTGCCTGGGCACTTGGGTTGTTTCCATAGCTTTGCAATTGTGAATTGTGCTGGATTAATAAAATGTGGTATATGTATACCATGGAGTATTACTCAGCTTTAAGAAACAATGGTGATATAGCACCTCTTGTATATTCCTGGATAAAGCTGGAATCCATTCTACTAAGCGAAGTATCTCAAGAATGGAAAAACCAGCACCACATGTACTCACCAGCAAATTGGTATTAACGGATCAACACCTAAGTGGACATACAGGAGTAACATTTATCGGGTGTCGGGAGGGTGGGAGGGGAGGAGGGGATGGGTGTATACAACCACAATAAGTAAGATGTGCAATGTTTGGGGGATGGACATGCTTGAAGCTCTTACTCGAGGGAGGAGGAGGGCATGGGCAATATAGGTAACCTTAACACTTGTACCCCCATAATATGCTAAAAAAAAAAAAAAGTTTGCCTGGGCCAGGCGTGGTGGCTCACGCCTGTAATCCTAGCACTCTGGGAGGCCCAGGCAGGAGGATCGCTCAAGCTCAGGAGTTCAAAACCAGCCCAAGCAAGAGCGAGACCCCGTCTCTACTAAAAAAATAGAAAGATATTAATTGGACAACTAAAAATATATAGAAAAAATTAACCGGGCATGGTGGCACATCCCTGTAGTCCCAACTACTACGGGAGGCTGAGGCAGTAGGATTGCTCGAGCCCAGGACTTTGAGGTTACCGTGAGCTAGGCTGACCCCACGGCACTCTAGCTCAGGCAACAGAGTGAGACTCTGTCTCCAAAAAATAAATAAATAAATAAACTTTACCTGAAATGAAATTTCAAGATTTTCCTAAAATGTTGATACCACATTGAGTTGTCTCTCTCTCTTTGGATGTCGTGGTATTATACAGCCTGATGCAACACTGAGTTGTGAGACTCTGAATTTTTAAAAAGTTCAAAAAAATTAAAGCATTCATCTGCCCTAGAATGGCAAAATCACAAACTCCGAGAACGCCCACGTTGTTCAGCAGACATTGCAGATGATCTGTCAGTTAAGAGCAGGCAGTCTCCAGGTCACTACATACAGCTTCTAAGGTGCTTTTCCCAACGGTCCTCAGGGTGGCTGGAGACCCAGGAGGAGACAGGACTGTCCTAAGAAGAGCTAAGAAAGGGTCTCTTGGGTCAGAAAAGTTTCTTCCTTCCTTTTTTTTTTTTTTGGCAAATTTTGTTTTGAAGTAAAGACTATTACTACCTTCTAATGTCAGCCCCCCATCCAATTGAGAAGCAAGTTTTATTTCTCTCTTTGATTAAAAATGAAAACAAGAAAATTCATATCTGTTAGTTGATAGTTCCATTTTGCACAAGTCAGGAGTATTCTCTTCCGGTTCAGTTTACCCCGAAATATTAAAAAGACAAAATAATTCTAATTTACGATAAATTTAGGATTTAGAAGTGTGTGTGTGTGTGCAATATCTATTGTTCAGAAATCTCTCCAAGATCTGTATGCACAGTTTTCTTATCTTTGCAACCATATTGGACTTAAATAACTTTTTCTTTGACTACTAAGGACTCTGCACCTCCATGGATAACATTCACTCTTGCATTCACTCTTGTTGCACAGTCAACAGATACAGAAGCCCCAAGTCTGTACAAAGTGCAGTACCCTTAGAAACGTTGCTATTGTTTTTACTTTTAAGAAAAAGGATCCCAGATATCTTGCTTTATAAAACAAAACAAAACAAACAAAAAAACATCTTTTTCTCATTTACCAGAAATGCAGAAGAAAAAAAAAATCAATCAGGTTAGGGTATCATTCTGGTTTCCTGGATTCCAATTGGTAGAGAGTTTAAACTTTAAAAAGTACAAAACAAAACAGCCCTTCGGTTACCTTACGTCATAAATCAATTAAAAATGTTGTGACTTCTGAAAACATGCGGGTCCGGCCCAGCGCCCAGGCCGCCCGGCCGCCTGTCGTTGCTGCTGCTGCTGGGCGGGCGGCGCCGTGGGACTGCAGTGTAGGTGAGTCGCTCACGCTGGTGCGCTGCGGACCGCTCCGCCGGGTTTCACGTTCGGGGTCGTGAGGCGAGGCCGGGGCATAGCGACAGGGACGACAACCGGGAGAAACTCGTGCCGGCGCGGGGTCAGGTCCGCGCGGCTCCGCGTTGCACTCTTCCCGCGGCGAGGATCCCGCGCCTCTCCGCCGGGCCCGCAGCTGCGAACTGCGGTTGGCGGCTGTCGAACCCCAGACGGAGAGGGTCTGCTCCCGAAGGAAGGGGTCTAGGGAGACGCAGCGCTTCTAAAGGAAGCCCCCTTTCCCGGGCGCGTCATTCTTTCCTTCGCACTTACAGTCATATACAGATAGTGCGCTTTGACTTTTCAGAAGTCACAACATTTTTAATTGATTTATGACGTAAGGTAACCGAAGGGCTGTTTTGTTTTGTACTTTTTAAAGTTTAAACTCTCTACCAATTGGAATCCAGGAAACCAGAATGATACCCTAACCTGATTGATTTTTTTTTT